GCTGAAACTGTTAAAAAAAAGTTAAAACATGCAAAACAAAAAATTCATTCAAAATCAGTCAAGCAGTACTAAACAGTTGTTAGTTAGCAAAACAAAAGCTAAAATCAGCTTAACTATAGCTAATAGCTAAATTCAACAAAACAAAAGCTGAAAGCCAAATCACAAATGTTAGCTAAAAGCTAGAATTAGCTAACAAAAGCTAAAATTAGTAAAAAGCAGCAAAGAGCTAAAACCAACAAAACAAAAGCTAAATGCCTAAATCAGACAAAAAGTAGCTAAAATCTATAATTAATAAACTAATAAAAGCAAAATTTTGGAAAAAGCAGCCAAACGTTGTTTTTTTTTATATTAGCAAAAAGTTAAAACCAGCAGAAAAATACTTAAAAGCTAAAATTTAAGTGTACTGAAGTAGATTTTAAAGAGAATAATATTTGAAGAACTAAAAATATGTATCTTTAAATTACAATAAAAAACTGATAATAAATGTAAATATTTACAAAGGTATAAAAGTTACAACCAAAGTCCCGGCTGTGGCGTCCTGAACGAGCCGAACGTTCAGCTGATTTGTTAAGAGTCTAAAAATGTAAAAAAAAAAACTTTAAACAGGAAAAAGAAAGTGTGAATTCTGACTCAGCACTTCTTTGTATTTATTTTATTTATTTATTTATTTATTTATTTATTTATTTATTTATTCCAGTGTTTGTTTTTAGTGGAACTTCTCTTTTTTTGTTTGTTTGTTTTTTTAAGCCAACAGCATCGATCAGCTGAAACGGTAAAAAATGACAAATCATAAAACTTCACTTCCCAAAAATTAAACAATTTACATCGAAATCAAAAATATTTACTGCAGCTCCTAAAAATAAATAAATAAATAAGTGTTTACAGATAAATATGTTTAATATATTTTGTTGAGTTGGAATATTATTTTTTCTTTTGATTTGTTGTTATTCTGTTTGAAGTATTTTTTCGCTTCCTGTTTTAATTTGAAATGGATTCCTCCTCGTTTTCTTGTCCATTATTTTGTTTATTATTGTTATTGTTTATTATTATTCTTCTGGAGCCATTCAGGGTGTGTTTGTTTTCTACCTCATCTGCGCGCTGCCACAGGAGCGGGTGGAGGTTAGCGTCTCCGTTCAGCTCGGTCCGATCGTCGTCCTCCCACTTCCTGTCCTGAACGGCCTTCACCAGTCTCACCATTTGGTCCCCGTACTCCCCGGAGGCCACCTCCATGACTGCAGGGGGGACAGACCGAGCACAGGTTCAACAGAACAGAACCAGAACCCGACAGGACAGCAACCGTTGGACCCTTCCTGGGGGTCCAGACTTGGTTCTTAGGAGGAGGTCTGAGGATTCTGTCTGGTTTGATTAAACTGGGTTTCTGTGTGGTTCTGGTCAGTCTGTAAGTCCAGTTTGGAGAATCTGAAAGAAACTCTCATGGGGGTTAAGGGGCTTTAAGAGACTGGACTGATCTGGGTTCCAGAAAGACTTCATCTGGGTCTGGAACTGAACCATGGTCACTCTGACTGCTGCAGGTAAGATACTGACTCATCAGATCCACAGCCAGATCAGTAAAACTAAATGTGTGTGTGTGTGTGTGTGTGTGTGGGGGGGGGGGGGTAGGTGCACGTGTGAGTGTGTTCTTACTGAAGTCGGCCGGGTTGTGGTATGTGGGGCACTTCAGTCCGAGGTCTCTGAGGTACGGGACCAGACTGGACACCTTGCCTCTGTAGATGCACTGACCCTGGCTCAGAACGTAGAGCTGGAACACACAAAGTTCTGATTCTTCCTGCGGTCCAAACACAGCTGAAGGTTCTGCTGAAGCAGAACCCACACAGGCCCATGCCACCGGGCGGTACCAGTCTGAGCACTGACTCAGCAGATTGGTCTCTTTCTTTACAACCAAAGTACTTCTACATACTTGGTGGTACTTTAACCATTTGCTCAGTTAGTACTTGTACATGATGGCTTCTAGTTTTTTTAAACTATACATATACAGTATATAGGGTGTGTGTATAGTTTTAAAAACTAAAGTATTTAGTATTCTAAATCACTGACTCGCTATATCGCGGTTTTTCAAAATAAGACTGGACGTGACACACAATTGATTAATGGATGAGTCGCATGATCAGCATGGAATTTTTATTTAAAATAAATTATTTTAAATTATTTAGCACCTGTGT